AGTAACGACGTAATACAAAAGATGACGCATTTTGAGTTGAAAATTTTGAAATCACGTACCGTTGGTTATGTAAGTACATTTTATAAGCAAATACGTATGCATACATATGTACATTTAAAATTAATTTTACACACCTTTAAATCGTTAAATTTTGTCTTCTTTTACTGTAACAGATAAAATTGCTCACTTTTTATTACATTTACATTAGGGTGGGTCAATTTCTTTCGAAATCGTACCGAGTAGATTTGGATTCAACATATGTATATGTAGTTCTAAGAAACTAAGTTCACTACAGCATAGCGTAAAAAAATATATTGATTCACGAATTGTAAGTGGGGTTCGACGCAAATTCATCTGGTTGCGATAGTAATGGTAAAATGTAATGGTAATGGTATGGTAAAATGGTTGCTTCTCTTTATATATCAATGTAGGCAGATAATACAATACTCCAAGAAATTAAGGCGGCAATAAAAAAAAATGACAATTTTTTGTTAGTTTTTGACCGGTCGTATTTCGGGAAAAAATGGTCGTATTGACTTTTAAAAAAGCCTTTGAAGCTCTAATGCCTGCTTGCACAGATAGCGTGAAAAAATAATTTTGGAAATTGATTCAGATAGCCTGTTGACTTAGCCACGGCACGTGACTTTTATCACACTAGGCTTTGTAAAAGAAAATTGGAACAAGTTGCAGTAATTCAAAAAACTCTCAAAACAACTAGAATTACTTACTCCAAATATCATATTAGAACAAGTTTCATTAAAAGAGCCATCCACAATTCGCAGAGTTTTACGATTTCGTAAGAAAAGAAAAAATCAACTTCCATTTTTGTCACGTAATAATCCTCTCTTTGATTGCTTATATTTATGAACCATGTGTTTCGATTGTTTACATTTTGCGGCTAAATATAGAGCTAAGTATACACTATACAAGTGCGCAAAAAAAGTAAAAGAAAAACAAAAGTTTGTAACGGGTGATTTTTTTGAGGTTAGGATTTTCATGCATTAGTATTTGACAGATCACGTGGGATTTCAGACATGGTGTCAAAGAGAAAGATGCTCAGTATGCTTTGACATTTCATCATGAATAGACTTACTAACGAGCAACGCTTGCAAATCATTGAATTTTATTACCAAAATCAGTGTTCGGTTCG